GTATCACACATGAACCTTAGGCTTTCTTTATTTTGTTTTGATCTTTTTTCTGATTGATCTCTTTCCCAGAAGTAGTCAGGTATTTGTCTTCAATTTCATTAATTCTGAATTCCATTGCTTCATTTCTACTCCTTCGCCCTTTCAATGTGTTATCTATTTCTGACAATTTAGTATTAATCTTCTGGATTTCTATCTGTTGATTTTGAGTCATTTTGAATATTTCATTTATTTTGTCATTTTGGTTTTGTAATTTCTTCTGAAATTGTTCTAGGGTTTTGTCTGTGTTTTTCTTAATTTTGTCAGTGTTTTCTTCAATCTGTTTCTCAATCCTTTGAAGATAGCTAAGTATAATTCTTTTGAATTCCTCATCAGGGAGTTCCAATGCTGCTTCTTCCTCAGGTATGTGTTCTGGGTCTGTATCCTGTTCCCTTGTTTCTATCACTTTATCTTCCCTCTTTGTGTGGACTGTGATGGTTTGTTGTCTCCAAGACAGTTATATAGAAGTGGACTAATCTCCAAGTCATAGAAGAACTTGCATGAAAACACCAAAAAAGGAGACATACAGAGCTGCAATCTGTCAGCTATCCTGATGGCACAGATAGTTTAAATATTGCCGAGTGGTGTTAGGACCTAAGAATTAACCTAAAAATCAGCCCTGCTAGTCAGGGGCCACACAGAACACTGCACTAGTAACTGGTGAATAAAAGGGGAAGCAGCAAAGAGGAAGACAGGCTGAACTGTGACCTTTTGCCTGTGTGGAGTGTGCAGCCATTTTGAATGTTAACAAGTGGTTTGACCATTTTGGATTTTTAAAGCAACAGCATTAATTGGTTCCCCTTTTCTTTGTTGAAGAGGATCTGTGCAGCCTGTCTGCCTATTCCACCATCTTACTGGAACTCCTGTGTTGTAACTTTTATCTGCAATTTTAAGAGTGAAATATCTGATTACCAATTACAGGAATTGTCTTTTAGGGGAAGTGTAGTTAATTTAAGGTAAAGAAGTCAGAATTAATTCAAGGACAGTAGAATATCACATATGAATTCTAAGTGCACTTTTTCATATGAAGAAGCACTGACCCTAAGAGTGCTTATTATAGATGATATCATAATGTAACTCCAATTGGCTATGGAAATAAGGGTGGATATAAGGACAGAGCATAACTACCCTTCGATTCTCATCTACTAATACCCAGTCTGTAAAAAAAAAAAAAGTAGAGAGTCTTAAACAGAATATTTTGATACTGATGATAGCATCTATAAATCATAAATATTGTTCCAATCTATTCTTCTAACAGTTTAAAGTCTAGTCATATTCTTCTATTGTTATATTTTTGGATTTGTTTTTTTGTGTGTGATATTTTATAACTAACTGCTAAAGAATTCTGAACTGGGTTAAGGTTTGGTTACTGTCTCCCAGGATCACCACATTGCACAATTCCAGGGGGTGCATCCCATGTCAGTCTATGGAGTTGTGCAGAATACCCACACAGACAGCAATGGGATGCACTTCTTGGTGTTGCATAATGTAGGGGTCAGGTATTTCTTCACACATTTTTCTCCCTGGAAGGGCTTTATTCCTGCCTTAGACTTTACAGAAGATTACCCCAACACTGAACAGAAGAGCAGCCTCAGCCTTGGGTTTCTGCTTCATGTACAGTTGCAGAATTGGTAGCACACTTTGGCCACCACCACCGAACTTACCTAGTCATACATTTAAATGCCTTGAACACTTTTCCACTCCCTTTTAGGCAGTGAATTCTGGGGAACTCCGGGCATTTGACTGGGGGAGTGAGACCAAGAATCTGGAAAAAAGCAATCAGGTAAGAAAATCCAATACCATCTCCTGGAAATGTGTGAGAACAAAGTAGTAGGGTCAGTTTATTTGAGAGATAAGTATTAAATACAGAGATTCAAACAGAAAGTAATAGTTTGGTTTTGATTCCTTTTCAAAATAGGGAAGTTTGCAGCTTAAGCAGAAGATCTTGTTGCTTTAATGAAACAGGAGACCTTTTCTGATGAGACTACCTCTGTGAATCAGGCACTGGGCTTTTCTGGAGCAAGATGGGGTAGATTTAGAGTTCTGGTGGCATAGTGGGTAAGGCATTTGGTTGGTAACCAGAAGGTCAGCAGTTCAAATCCACAGGTGCTCCATGAGAAGAATGAGGGAAGCAATCTACTTCCACAAAGATTTACAGCCTTGGAGACCCAATGGGGTGTGCTATGAATCAGAATCAACTCAATGGCAATGAGTTGGCTTTTGTTTTTTTGTTTTTGTTTTTTTGGTTTGGAGTTTATGGTGGTTACTAGAAGGAGCCTTTTAGGATTGAAAAAAGAAGAAGAAGAAGAAGAGGAAGAGGAAGAATGGGAATGGCAATAGAGTGAAATAGTTCCATAGTACAGACAAAAGACCATTAAATAATAAGTGAGGATCACCGTGTTAATCTTATCTCTGAACTATTAACTTGTGAGTCATGGGCAAGTCATTTTGACTCTTTAAACCCCAGTTTTTAGTTCTTTTTTTACCTTTATGGAAAATTATTGAAGTAGATGATCTTTAAGAGATCTATAGGTCAGACTTTCAATGAATCTATAATCTGCTAGTGAAAAATATGAAAAAAAAATGTTATTACATAACTCAAAGGTATAAAATAAAATTAAATATAAAGTTTGTTGAGAATCAGAAAAGGATAATTATGTTCTTTTGAGCATAAGTGCTTCATTTAAGAATATCGCTTCACATGTATGTGAATGTAGACAACTACTGATCGTACAAACAGAAAGCGAGAGGGAGCCAAGTTAACATCTACTTGCGACATATCAGTCTAGATATAAAAGGTTAGGAAGTTAGACAGATTGTGCAGCACCCGTGAAGAGTAAATTCTTAGTCAGGTATCAGTTACTTTTTTAGATCCTTCTTCCCTGTTTCTTAGAACATGTCTTTAGAGAAAGAATTCTTGTTCTAAGACAATTTTAATTTATTGACATTCAATGTACCACTATCTAGAGAAGGTGATGTGTGCAGAGTCTAAAAAACCAAACCCATTGCTGTTGAATCAATTCCAATTCATAGTGACCCTATGGAACAGAGTGGAACTGCCCCATAGGGTTTCCAAGGCTATGATCTCTATGGAAACAGACTGCCACATATTTCTCCCACAGAGCAGATGGTGGGTTCAAACAGCTAACCTTTTGGTTAGCAGCCAAATGCTTAACCACAGCACCACCAGAACTCCTTGAAGGCAGAGTTCAAACCAAACCCACTGCTGGTGACTCATAGGAACCCTATGAGGACAGAATAGAACTGCCCCATCAGGTTTCCAAGGCTGTAAATCTTTATGGAGGAGTTTGGTAGCATAATGCCTAAGGCACTTGACTGCTAACCAGGAGGCTGATAGTTCAAACCCACCAGCCACTCCTCAGAAGGAGGGTTGGGCAATCTACTTCCATATTGATACTGCCT